CGATGACTCCAAAAGAGAAGAGCTCTTGGCAGATGCAGACAATGATGTCAATGATATGCCAGAACTCACTGTCAGATTCCAAGGAGATGATGACTATGAATCAGACGACGATTCAGGTGATGAAGGCGATGAAGAGGAAGAACCTATTGTTGCCGATTTGGATCACCACCAAGAAAATGTCGATAGAGGAACCGTTGATATTGGGAGCCTCGTTACTGATCTGGAGGACCTACAAGAGCCGCCAGAAGAAGAGATTGTATTGAAGAGCCTCAAGTAGCAAAAGTCACTCAATCTGGGCAAACGTATGCGCAAGCTGCAATGTCTGGGCTGAACCTTTCTCAAGTTCCAAAGAAACCAAGAGAATGGCCTTCAAGCAGGAGTGGCAGTTCTGCCAATAAGAACAAGAATCGAGTTGCGACAAGACGCAAGCATCGAGAAAGAGAATTGAAACCGTTGAAGAACAAGTTAAAATCTGGTATTGGTACCAAAGAAGGAAGTCGCAGTACTAAAGACAGTAAAGCTATCCTTGAAGCAAAGCACAATCTATGTTTCCAACAGATTGGGAATGAGATGAAAGCTGATTATGAAGAGCACGACACTATCCTGATCGCTCGTTGCATGATGCAGATCAAGGCAAAGTTTGATACTGATGAAGGTCTGAACTTCATTCAACAGTATTACATCAACCAAGGACTGAGGCAGTTTGGTGATGATGGAAAGGATGCTGTGGATAAGGAATTGAGACAGATGCTCCTGAGAGATTGTTTCACTCCCGAATTTGTTAAAGACATGGCCGCGTCTGAGCAAAAGAAGGCCCAATCAGTGATGATGTTACTCGCGGAGAAACAATTCGAAAAAACAATTAAAGGTCGCCTAGTATTCCAAGGCGATGGAACTCGTGAATGATTATTGCAAGAGGACACTGCAAGTCCAACTGCTTTGCAGGAAGCAATCACCACTACTTGTGTTATTGATGCACACGAAGGTAGAGATGTAATGACGCTGGACGTACCTAACGCTTTCATTCAAACTTATATGCCTGATGCTAAGGAAGGAGAAGATCGTGTCTACATGAAAATCACTGGCATGATGGTCCAGATATTGATTGACATGGCCCCAGAGTATCGCAAATACGTTGTATTAGAGAACGGAAAGCGAGTAATCTATGTGCGGGTACTGCGTGCTACATATGGGATGTTGCAATCGAGCCTCCTATTCTATAATCAGTTTTGAAGTGATTTGGAGGCAATGGGATTTGTTTTCAATCCGTATGACCCGTGTGTTGCTAACAAAGTCGTTGATGACAAACAGCAAACTATCGGATTTCATGTTGACAATCTTATGTCAAGTCACATGGATCCGAAAGTAAATGACAAATTTGCTGAGTGGTTGAACATGAGATATGGTTTGATCCAGGCATGTAAAGTCGTCAGAGGAAAGATACACAGGAGCGGCCTGTAACTGGACCTAAACGCGCCGAGTCAGCTTTTTGGGGGTGTCGTTTGGACAAAATGAGGGGAGTGGTATAGTCTTAAATTGATTACCCAAGTTAGGCTGACTGGCGTGTGTTTCTTTTCAAAACTACTTGGCGTGCGTGCCCTTTTGATCTGGTTCCGAACCGTTGAACCTTCGTCCAAATGGACGAAAATAGTCGAACCTTCGTCAAGTCCAACTATTCTCGTCCGAGTCCGACTATTCTTCGTCGAAATGGACAAAATGGATGAAATGGACAAAACTGATTTCAGAGCTCGCAAGAATCTCGTGTGACAAAAACTTCAAATTTGCACGATCAGGCTGGTAGTGGCAAGCTGGTCCAAGGAGGATGACATGCAAAAACGGCAAAAAACGGTACACTAGAAAACAAGAAACGGTAACTAAATAAAAAAGGGCAGGTTCTATCTCTCCACAGCAATGTGCCAAAGTTGCCAGAGATGTTTACAGACATTTTGCATGTTTTCAGAAATTCAAACGTCAACAACAAATTATACTAACAGATGAGTGATAGATTTAGGATTCATCCGATCAAGAGGTTTAAAAAATAATCTGCCCTATTCCTGATGCGACCATGTTTTGTCGGACCCGACAAAACTTCGTCAAACCCGATCTGACGAAGTGTCCGACAAAGTTCATCCATTTCAACGGAACGTCCACAAATGAAATGAATCTTTAGGCAGGCTCGTTTTCAGCGAAGCCCAAGCTCTGCATTGCGCAGAATCTGTCACCGGCACGTCAGTTTCCGTCATCCTTGCAGGGAATCTATGACATATCTGAGGACATTCCCAGCAAGTCTGCCATTTCAGGCCGCTCCAGGTATCTTGGAATGACTTTGGATTTCTTGGTGAAAGGAAAACTCAAAATCCGCATGGACGACTATGTCAAGAACATGTTGGAAGATTTTCCTGTCAAGTTCAACAAGGATTCAAAGCAGGAAACACCAG